TGTTTACCTTAATAGTTCAATAGACAGAAGTATTATGTGTTTTCACATAGAATCTAAGTAGTCGTTTGCAAATTGCACAGTTATTGGTGAGTAGTCACTATAATTTCCTTTAAACTATGGTGATTTCTCACCTCTAACTGTGTAATTTACAAAAGACAAATCTGATTCTATGTATTACCAGGTCACTCAGGTAGCGGGTCGGAAGAGTTTAAGTTGGTTCGACTCGTTGAGCTGAATCGAATCAAGTGTACCGCAGATGAGACCAGTCCAAAACTAGCGAAACATTGTGAACTGTTATACACGGGGTTGGTAGTCTGCCACCTGTATTTATCGTGGTTTTAGAGTTCAGCTGTTTCCCAGCCATTTGAATATGTGTTCTTCCACCCTATCTATGTATGTGAATCCGCGCACAAGAACGTAAATTGGCATACAATGTAGTATGCAATGGTCGGACTGGAGAATTCCATGAAATGAAAATTAGCTAGGACCTGTCGACAGCCAAGGAGCTCAATGGGGTTCTACAGTACTCTGTCAAACTTGCAGTAGTTAGTGCGAAAATCACTTTTTTTTAATGGCTGTGTCACTAATCACATATACTCCAAATGGTTCTGGAAAGGTCTACATCGAAATCACGTATATCCTAACACAAAATCACTGCCATGCACTGGATCTTGCTGATTCTATTTGATCATACACTCCAGAACTCAAGCAGAAGCGTTATCCATGAGTCCAAAATTTTGCCCCATTAATCCAAGTACCGACAGGCTTCTGTAAAATCGAATTACCCAAAAAGATGATTTATCTCTTATCTCTATGACCAAGAACTACAGCGATTTAAATCAAGCATAATCGACTGTCACCAAAAATATTTGAATACAAAGCCAAAAGTCTATAACCACCTAACACAGCATCACAGAGGACAACTAAATCACCTGAGACATAACAAAGAACTACCAGTAACCCGTCTAAATAAGAGGCTGATGCAGTCCCTACGGATAGAATGGAGTATACAGAGAAAACGAACCAAATACTGTCAGACAAAAATGATTTTTCTCAACCACCCAGTGAAAGAAATAAAAGAGAACAGATTTAGAAACACGTCACTGATGTCCTCGAAAGAATGAAAGAAAGTAATGAAATTTATGATCACATTCAACCGACATGATTAATGATATCAAGACTATGTGGTTTATCAAAGTTACACAAAGCAGGTCCCCACTGAGTCCACTACGTCCCTCATACCATTCATTTACAAAATGGTTGGCTGATATTTTAGAATCTGTAAGAAAACAGATGTGCCACTATTCGCCTCGTGACACCTTTCAGTTGGTCGACTGTATACAAGATATCAACTCATCTAACGAAAGTATGCTCTTTCTTGACATTGAATCACTATTTACTAACGCTTTGCTCACGGCAATTGTCTATCACATTTGTCAATAAATAGACAAAAACCAGCTGAACATTGGATTACCAATAGTTTGTTTAAAAGAAATACTACTGAGATGTATCTTTAATGTACATTTTACGTTCAGCGACGTTATTTGCAGAGAAAAGGATAGGATTGCAATGGGATCTCCCCTGGGTCTATCGCTAGCAGACTGTTCCATGGCAAGCCTCGAGAATGGCCCACTGGGATCAACTATTGATGCTAGACATGTGGATGACATCTTCATTGTCTTTGATGATAATCATGATCTTAATCAACTACTACAGATATTGAACTACTGCCAACCAGCAACAGAATTTACTCCTGAAATAGAAAATGAATTTAATATTCCTTTTCTTGCTGTTGAACTTACAAAAATAGTCGACGGAACTGTAAGGAGGTCTATCCAAAGGAAACCCACATGGAACAGCCAATTGATAAGTTTCTACAGCTACATTCCAACCAATCGTAAACTCACGTCTGAGGCATATGCAGCCCTGATGCTCTGGAAGAAAAATTACACTTTTTGAAAGAAATCATTTAAAATGGAGATTCACCAAGATTTATTGACAAGAACATCAAGCTAAGAATTCAAAATAAGAGGCGTCACCCGTGCCAATAAAAGAAACTTTACATAAACTTTGACTTCAAAGGTGACCTAATCAGGAGAATTTTGGCTCCTTTAAGTAGAATTTTCTTCGCAGCAAAGCTGAGAGGAGTGTTATTCAGTCGCTCACTGGTCTGCAGAAGCCCAAAGGGCAAGATTTCGCATCTGATCACTTCTATGCTCGTATATCAGTTAACCTGTTGCTATGGAGCCAGATATACAGGTCGTTCGACACGTATCCTGTCTAAAAGGGTTCCAGAAGACTATTCCGCATGGCTACAGGAAAGTAGTAGTGGCTCTGTAAGAAGTACGATAATCGAACACCTTGTCAACACTGGTCATTCTATCGTAACGAACGCTTCCTTCAAAATAATCAACAAAATGATGAATAACCTGCCAAAGGCAATACACTTTCGTCTCCTTTGCATTGCTTTAGCTTTACCCATTCAGATAGAGAAACTGGAGTTATGCATACAAAAGAGAATTATTCAACCACTTCTATTGTTATGGTAACAACCTTTTTGATTTCTACACACTTGAGTTTTGTTGTTCGTTTGTTTTCCTAACCCCTTATAATTTTTGTATTTCGCTTGAACTCTTACATAATCGCATATTTTCCTTCATATCTGTCTGCGTCCTGATTGCAACTCATTCATTATATTATTCAGCTTGTTACGTAACTATAATACACTATTTAACTTCTCTTATGCACTGACTAATATTAACAACTACGTTTGAGACAACTCATCACTTTTGTTGCTACCCTTTTTCATGAAAAGGAGATTGTACATAAATGCAATTGTACAGTCAAAGGGGAAAATGAATTCATCGAAAGAGCCGCTTCGCTGAACTATGTGTTCCGTTTTATTAACTATTTTGTATTCATATCTCCTGTTCTACAGCTATGCTATTTCAGTGGAAATACTTTTCTGCGCCCACTGAGGTTTGAACCCAGGACCGCCCAGTTACAAGGTGAGCTCGTAGACTATTATTCCAGTGGGACTCGATGCCGCTGCCCATGAGTTCCGCTTTCTGTCAATTTTCTAAATGGTCTATGAGCTCACCTTGTAACCGGAAGGACCTGGATTCGAACCCTGGCAGTGGGTGCATACTGATGAAGAGTCTCAAACTAGGGCCAAAACGACTGTCCAATAAATACTCCTTAGTTTTCCAGTAGTTCTCTAATCGATGTAAACCCGTGATCAAACGTGTAACTAATCAAATCCTGACGAAGTAACACTTGATCATTCATCTTGCCTCCATGTCTATTTAAATAGTAAACTGACGATAAAGAAAACAAATCTCCGCATTCACCACGGCAAGTTTGACAGAGTAACGCAGAAACCCATTGAGTTCCTTTACTGTCGAGAGATCTTTGCTATTTTTTAAATCATGGAAATTTCCCATTGTAACATATAGAAAATCAAAACAAATGATTCAATGAAGAGACTCTTTTCAACGAATTTATCATCAAGCTGTACAATCGTATATATATGGTTTTTAAGAAGTTATATCCGGTGAGGGAATTGAAACATAGGTGTGAATGCATGAAATAATAATGATAATAATATGAAATGCAATTAAAACTAAAGTCTTTGTGATTATAATCGTAGTTAAATGTCAAGTGGTAAAGCAAATTAATGTCATATATAGAATAATTCATAGGATGGATAGAACTTGAAAAAGGGTGTGCAATTATAAGATTAGTAGACAAATCGAATAAAATAAAAACGTTACGTAATATTGTATGAAATTTAATAGCATAGAATTTAATGTTGCATAAAGGAATTGATTTAGAATGACAAGTGGAACAAGTGAAATAATACCGGGGACAATTAAAATTGAGAGTAGTAATAGTAACAATTGACTTAATGAGGAACAGTATACAAATTGAATAGACAAAAATGAAAAAATGAAAAAATTGGTAGAGCTAAAATATGACTGGGGATTACCATACTTTAGCATAGAGGGATTAAGACCATGAAAGTTGGAGGGGTTGAACGAACTTTTTCTGTACACAGAGATCTGGCTTTTCTGTTTCGATAGCCAAAGCTTCAGCAATACAGATGAATCGGGTACGTAAGGATTTGGGTAAATTACTCTTTGCCTTGTAGATGACTTTAAAGGCGGAGGCTATAGAGATAGGGTGATCATTATCGACCAAATGTTCAATGATCGCTCTTCTTATTGCTCCACTTCCACCTCTTCGTAACCATGCGGGATAGTGTTCTTGCACCCTCTTAGACAAAACTCGTGTCGAACGACTGATATACCTAGCTCCACACGAGCAGGTGAATTGATAAACTACGATTATAATTACAAACATTTTAGTTTTAATTGCATTTCATATTATTATCATTATTATTTTGTGCATTGACACTTATGTTTCAATTCCCTCACCAGATATAACTTCTTAAAAACCATATATATACGGTTGTACAGCTTGATGATAAATTCGTTGAAAAGAGTCTCTTCATTGAATCATTTGTTTTGATTTTGTGTAACGTTAAAGACTCAACAACACAGTCTGAAATTTTTTTACTGTTATTATTTTTCATATTGATACTTTGCCTGTTGTTTAAATATTTTGAGTAATTGAACTTAATGATTATCATCTTGACTAATGACCAATGGATTTATTGATCAAGGGGGAGAGTGAATACATTTCAACTACAATGATGAAATCCAATGATTGTTTAAAAAAAAAGAGAAAGAAAAAGAAATTTGCATCAAAAGAAATTATGCTGTCACATATTGGCAACAACCAATATCTTTTAATCTCAGTAGTATGTGTGTGTCTTTTTTTGAAAACAGATTCGTCTCAAGGTTACACATGTCTAGCCAACAACTTCCAACTGACCAATAAGCAACTAACCAGGTCATTTATAAAAAAATTGTTTATTTAATCGTTTAGAATTGTAAATTGTAATTTTCTAATGAACAAAGGATATTTCACATATTATAATGGAAGTTAGTATGAAGGATAATAATAAAAGAATTGTTTTATTACCTGTTGATGGCAGTGATCATTCCACGCGAGCATTTCAATGGTATTTGGATAATTTAAAGAGTGAAGAAGATGAACTGCATTTTGTTTATATTATTGAACCAGCGTTTTCAACACCGACAATTGAACTTGCATTGGCTTCACCACCAGTAAGTAATATTATGCAATCAATGCAAGAGAGTATTAACAATGGAAAGAAACTTTTACATGCCTATTTAACAGAAGCAAAAGCTGCTGGCATCACTTGTCATGCACATGCTCATATTGATACAAAACCTGGTCAAGCTTTAGTTAGAATAGCTGAAGAATACAATGCAAAATTGATAGTAATGGGAACCCGGGGATTGGGAATAATTCGTCGGACATTACTTGGCAGTGTTACAAACTATGTATTACATCATGTTAAAACTCCTCTGGTGATTGTACCTCCAGTGAAATCATGATCAATCTCAATGTTAGTGTTTTAATCCTGACCTTGTGATGAAATTTAATTTTCTATTGAAATGAACTACTTATACATTATTAAATGCATGTACCCTTATCATATCTTGATAAAATTAATACTTGCATTTGTTTAATTTTCATCAGTTTTGGTTGTGATTGTTAGTAGAACCGCCTTTTGGAAAAAAATATTTCTAAGCATACATCTATTGTCGACTGTTTGTCAGCCAGGTGAGCAGTTTGAGTTCGATTCCTGGCGATTTATCCCACTCCTAAACCTCGTCTAGCCAGTAGTATGTTCTGCAGAAATAGGATAAATACTCGACGAAGACATTGGTTAGTGGTCGCTCTATGTCGTGAGTTGTCAGAAGTTAGCATTCATGGGCTGGCCATTGGATCGGGTCAGGTGTCAGTGGCTCGCCTTGTAACCACGAGGTCCTGGGTACCAACACCAGTGGGTGCTTACTGTTGAAGAGTCCAAAACTAGGACGAAACAGCTGTCCAGCACTCCCTGCAGGTTTTCCAACGGTTCTCTAACCAATGTCAGCTCATGATGAAATTCTGTAACCAAATAATAATGAGCTTTTATATCATCAATAGAAAAGAAATTGACTATCTTCGATTTATGTTCCTCTCTTGCTGAATATTTTCCTTGTTGATTTAATGGTATGATGAGTCGGAAGGTCATTAGAGAAATAATCTTGACACAAAGGTAAGAAATATTTCTAAAATCAACAGATCTATATAGGACTAGTTATGAGTAGTATGAGGCAAATTAATAATATACTGTTGTTAGCAAAATTTTTGCTAGTAATTATAATTAAACTGTGCTTTATTTGTATTCACAAAGCAAATAAACAAATGAGTGAAACTTGAACAATGTGGTAGTGTGTAATTCCATATTAATTTGTTTATTAGATATATCACACAGTGAAACAGTATTATTTACTGGGTAGTGTTTTGAAAAAAGTTAATTATTCGCAATTATATCAATTACACCTGGATAACTTCGAAAGTTAATTTTACAGATCACTTTCTCCCTTCCGATTTGTCGCAGGGGTAGTAGAGTTTTCTAAATGTATGGAACAAGTGTTCGACTATTCCTACTTTCTGTATTCACAGTGGACTAGAAAAATAACTATTCAGTTTCTCGTCGGATTTCCGAAAATCACCCTGCTTAGTGGTTAAGTAAAGGACTAACAGAATCTATTCATAGCGCTATTCTATCTCATCTTGTGGATACAGAACAAAAGATTGATGTTAACCAGGCTTTCAAAGTCATTTATCGCATACCAACAAATCTTAATTTCGCCGTAAGAGTTCGATTACTAAATACTGTTGGGATCCATATTAAGAAGCCTAATTTGTGCGTCCAAAAGAAGCTAGTTCAGACATTGTGTTTACCTTTTCCATCTAGGTTTGAATGGTCCTCAATTTTTGTGGAAATTTCCCTAATTTTAGTTGATATTCTATTTGCTATTATATCTTTATTATTTTTATTATTTAAGCATCTTTAATGAAATGTAATTCCATTGATCTGACTCGACAAATCGATATTATTTAAAAAACGCTGATATTGTTATTGACTACTATTCTAGAATATTCTATGTATATAAACATATATATAATTTTAGAGCCAGAAGAGGAAATTATCAAAAGGATATTCTTTGCTCAATTATTTTGTGTTTTATAGATGTCTGAATGAATATTTTTTAACTATTCAGTTATCAATCTCTCCCTTCACCCTGTTATACTATACTTGAAGACTATCGCCTAGTCCTATCCTATTGGATGGTTGTGGGTAACTACATGTAGTGCTATAGTTGAGCTATTTTCTGGATTTCTATTCCTATTAGGGTCAGATAATCTAGAAACGTCATCCAGTATACAATACTGTCTGATTATGTAATGTATTCGATAAACCACAGTGATCAAGTTTTACGGATACATTTATCAAGCTACGCACTACTAATTAGTTGATACAATTGATTGGATACCACTAATATAAACCATTAGTACTTTCTAGCCAGATCAAAGTGATTTGAACACTGGACGACTGTTGAATATTCCTCATCTTACTGATTATTTTCCTGATATGATCCAGTAGATGCGTGTTAACTTTATTAAATTTTGATGTTCCGAAGACTTTAAACCAAAATTTTATAAGAATCTGAAATACTAGATGGTTGGAGGCAATCGGCAGGAAGACTTGGATTTAGGTTTCGTGTTAGTTGGCACTCACTAGTCAACAAGCTGTATCTGCAACCTCGAAGGAACTCATGCCCCTTCCGAGATTCGAACCCACGTCACCCACTACTGCAGTCAAAGACGTCATCACTGAAGTATTCGGACTCGCTATTGACCCCCTGTAGGGCTGTAGTGGGTATTTTGATTGGACACTAGTCAGTATCTAGTGTGACGTGTCTAGTCCTTTCTTTGGTGCAGACTGAATTCTATCAATCAGGTTTGCAATGTGGCCACCACCACTCCAGGTAGCTCGTCATCACAGTGCACATTGATTTGATGATACTAGATAGTTCGAGGCAATCGGAAATCGTGCTAGTTGGCGAGCTACCTGGAGTGGTGGTGGCCACATTGCAAACCTGAGTGATAGAATTCAGTCTGCACCAAAGAAAGGACTAGACATGTCAAACTAGTTACTAGTGTCCAATCAAAATCTGAAATATTGCCGGTCATGGTGAAGTTGGGAAGATTGAGAATTAGTCTGCAACAAGGCTTCTGCTTGATGTCAAAGTCATATTCCTATTCGTTGTAGTTGACGTTACGCAGTTACATTCAGTTGGTGAGTCCTAAGTAGAATGAAATGCATATCACGAATTCCACCGTTAGGCTTTATCAATCAATTGATTTTTTTATGCTGTTAAGAATTATTTCTTCTCAAATTATACGACCCACTTCTACACATTAGATAATTAAGACTTTCAGCAAAATTGCGTAAACCACCAAAATGATAAATATTTACCTCACTTATCATTGATTTTTAATCTAAACATATGCTGAAAGTGAAAAGTTATTTGATTATGTATTACTAAACAGAGAAGTTAGTAATTTACCAGGAGGGGAAAATAAAGATACACCTTCTTTAATCTGAAATCGGTGTGCAAATCTACTGCACCCAGCATCAGGGAAAAAATCCCAATTTTCAACACTTATGTCAAATCCGCGATCCTATATGGTTTAGAGACCTGGTTCAAGCTTCACCAAAACTGTTTCTAACAGAGCACTGCAGAGCTTCATCAACAGACACCTCCGTCCCATACTAAAGACCAGATAGCCAGAAAAGATTAGCAAAAAGAAACTCTGCAACAGACGAACCAAGAAGCTTTTACCTGACATACATGCATAGAGAAATGGAGATGGATTGAACATACGCCGAGAAGACCGTTGAAGGACATCTGGCAGGGCAGGTCCACGAGTGGAACCTGAATGGGAAAGCATAAATTGGGAGTGTGGCAGTGCTATGGGGTAGGTCTTGTGAAGAAGAGATGAAAGCTTCTGGGAAATCACCGAGCCGGCAAAAAGTGACTGCAGAGAAGGGCGCTAGGTGACACTGTACCTGTGAAACTCTATGTTCCACTAAGAATTATTAATAATAAGCATCTAGCTATGCGTAGCTAACAAAATATCCTAATAATTAAATTAACACATGGCTACCGATATATTAGATTATAGAGAAAATATTAATCTATAAAACCTTGAATTAATAGATGTTAACTGTAGAGTGGTTGAGTTGTTAAGTATTGCCTTGATGGTCTACGAGCTCGCCTTATAACCAGAAGATCCTGTGTTCGAACCCCGGTGGGTGCGTAGTGATGAGGAGCCCCGAACTGGGACGAAGTAGTTGTGTAGTACTCCCAGGTTTTCCTATGGTTCTCTAACTGATGTCAGCTCATGATGAAATCCTCCAAACAATTGCTGAGTTAGTTTTATCACTACAGAAAGTACATGTTTACAGAATTATTCGCTATAATGTACTAGTTATCGAGTGTTGTTATGAAAAAGGAGTAAATTTAGAAATAAGTCTTCTTTCTTTGGAAGGAAAAAGAAGGGTGGACCTGTGGAATATCGTCTGCATGTTTCAGAGTAGTAAAGCTGCTCAAATTGAAAGGAAATGAGAAGATATAGTAAAGAAGTGAGAACAATCTATAAACCTATATGGAATAAAAATGGACTCTCAAAATTGTTAACTGCAGAGTTAATAATCAACTCTGCTTATTTGGAATACATTCATGAGCATATTGAGAGCAATGACTGCTCTAATGTCTCCAACAGCATCAGAGGCTTTCATGTGGTGAGAAACAGTCTCACACAGAATTACGACAGCAACATGCAACTCAAAAAGGATATTTACAATCAACAAGTGCTGTGGATGCGCTGTGTTTCATTCAGAAATCAAGGAATGAATGAATAATACTATATCAGACAATTTTCTTCATATTCATAAATTGTTACTTGAATTCATGTCCATTTCTGTAAATGTTTTCACCCACACTAAAAACGAAGATTCACAGTTTTAGAGTGTTAATGTCAACCTGCTTGATGAAGATGGCTAGCTACCTTTTGTGTGCCAAATTTCAAGAATTATCCAGAAATGAAATATTATGTTGTTTTTTTGTTTTCTCGACCATACTGAATTAATTATCCAAGTTGTGGATGGCTTTCATTGTTCCCCACAAGATTTTCTCTGCAGGATAATCCCATAGTATTATATACTTATTCCACAATTTTTAGTGCTTAATATACTTACAAGCGTCAACATTTGTTTTATGTAGCAAATAGTAAAATAATTTGCTGTTTTCTGTCATCGTTTGACATCTGATTAATGTTTTCAAAAAGAAGTAGTTTGCAGTCGTACCTAGCCCTGATAAGCCGATGTCTTTACTCTCCATTTTACCTGTTTAAATAAATTCTGGCTTCAAGCTCACCCTCATTCGCTATAACCTAGTTCTGTTACATAACTTGTTAGTTAATAATCATTCTA